ATATAATATTTAATAACTGTTAAAATTTCAATTGTTTATCATTGTTTTTATGTTTCAGGATTCATACAACCTTAAAACATTTGAATTCTACAGTACATCCACGCAGATAATCGTCAAGATTGTTCACGACAGTCTAAAGTATGTATATCGTTCAGTTCAATAGTTTTTAAACAATCAATCATTTTATTCTTGTGGTATTAAAGACACGTGAAAACGTAGAATAATTCGAAACAGTGAAAAGTCATCGACATAACTCCAACAGCATTCAATATTGCAACAACAGTGCATTTATACATTGCACTGCAACATTTCTCATGATTTTTATGTAATTGTTACATCGATATTGTTAAGTGTCCCAAAGAAAGTTACTTGACCAATGAGAGCGCGCGTAGGTCTGCGCTGACCAATGGCCGAGCGTCACGACCCAACCTATCCGTGGCTGGACGCGAGCCCTGCGCGTGCTCTCATTGGTCAGTGTTTTCCGTTCGTAATTCAAAAACCATGCAATTAATCATAAAGAAGAGCATAATCGATAAGGAATTATAGAAATACCATCTATACTTTCCAAAATTCATTTGTTCCTGCAGCAAGATTGTTTAAAATATTGCAATCTTCCAATATTTTTGCTGCAATATTGAGTGCTGTTGAGAAATACGACGAAAATAAGTTTGTACATTAAAAAGAACATTTTTGTTGCTCTATTGCCATTTCACTTTCCCTTAGAAGCTCGTAAGTCCCACTTATTGTCAGCTACAGACTAACACACTCAGAGCAATGATCATAAAAAACAAAACAAGTCATTTCTACCCCACGAGACTGTAATAGAATTTCATGAAACAATAACGGAATATAATAATTACAGTTTTGTTGTTTTTTTTACACACTGTACAAGTGTTTCGAGCTGCGTTTCGCTAACCACATTAAGAATTTTTAGTCAATAGTAATTCGACCTTATGACAGTCGAGAATGTTCTGCTTTGTACATTACAGAAGCAATTATTTCTATTGAGATTTGTAAACTTATATAATAAACGTATTGTACTACCTGCGTTCAGTCTTTGATCGAATAATAAATTAATTGATAGTTGATGGAAACGAACGGTGCATTTTAACCAGTAAAATTAACTAGGAACTACGAATAGGATTAAAAACATTTGAATCTGTCTGGGTCCCAAATTTCATAATCCACGATTTCATCGTTAGCTTAAATAATCAACAACCACCGCGTTTGTTCAACAACGAATTGGACAGCTGCGCTCGTTTCGCTAAGCTAAAAGCGGACCGGCGATCATGTCATAGAAAGTACGAGTGTCCAAGGACCCTATTTCATAACACACAGACGATAAAAGCCTGATCGATTCAGGCGAAACCCTGATACCAAGTTTTAGTCGATTTGAATTTCCCGCCTTTTAAACAGTTTTAATTCCGTTTAGGAATAGCGCGGCTATAGCGCGGCGGGTCAATAAACCGTTTACCTGTTCCTGTTGAGCTTAGCGACTGATATTAATTGTCAACGATTCGTCATGGCAGTATAGAAATGGCAGCGTATTTAGTTAGACGAAGATTCATCCTGCATAAGTTATAATAGAGACCGTCCCGTCTCGAAGGTCAGGTTTCATTCGAGGACGAAGTAAGATAGACCCACAGTCGTTTGTCAATTCCCATGATCATCGTTCTTGTGGTTTCATTCTCCCGAGGTCGACGACTTCCCACCGTCGAGCGTCTGCTCGTACAGGCACAGAGCGCGATGGACGAACTCGTACTGCTCCGCAGTCTGCACCATGCCACCTCGATCGTATCTGAAACAAGGAGCCATTTTGTAATGAACGAATTTACCTCAGACCTTAATTAAATCATTTATTTAATACTGGGCATATAAATTAGTTCTGTCCATTTTCAAAAGATGGCCGAACAGGAGACTTAGGCCTGTATTCAGAGTCGTTGCTTATTCTTAAGATCATCTTAAGCATTTGCTTAAGTCCCTGTTCTCTGTACAAGACAAGGACTGGAAATATGGGATAGACAGGGCTATCAAATTCTTAAGACGAACTTAAGAATAAGCAACGACTCTGAATACCGGCCTTAATTGTATTTCTTCACAGCCAACTTCACATTTAAGCATTTAACTTAAATGTCCATCACCAAATGAATTTGTACTCCCAATTAATGGCTCATTTACCTCATTTGACAGAGGATGCCTAGAACGTCTACGTTCCCATCGCGCCTCAACTGTGTCATCCCAGTGGCCAAAGCTATGAAGCAGCCAGTCCTCCCGATTCCTGCGCTGCAATGGACGATCACAGGGCCTGGTAAGGAAATCACTTCAGATGCTAGACTAACAAGAGTGTCCGCAGCTTGAGGCACCGCATGATCCGGCCATGAATCAAACCTATAATAATTAAATTATTAATACTAAACTCTGAATCATAACTATTATATAATGACTTTGTTAATGTTCCAAGGTTTTAATTAAGTTACCAGTAATGTTGGACGTGTCGCCTCTCCCCCTCGTGTCTGATCTCCAAATCTCTGACCGTGTAGCCTTCTCTAGAAATAATCGAGTTGACGACGACGGTGAATGGCCCGACCTGTACTCGGTTGTTTTTGTCCAATGGGAAGTACGCGTCGCATTTCGTTTTCGCTGCCTCGTGCAATTTAGTCATCATCACGACGACGGACACCTTCTCCGCCCAGACCATCTTCCAAAAGTCGCCGACGGTGTGGGCCAGTGGTCCCTGCGTTGCGATGTACCGAGCGTCTTCTCCATCGTATCCCTATTAATTTCAAGTATTAATAACAGAATTAGCAATTAAATTTGGTAAAATGTACTACTGAATGAAGCTACCCAAGCTAGATTAAAGGTACCCAAGAAAAAAAACCTTAAGAGCGTTCTTACACATTTCACATTATGAGGCTGATTCATAAATGGTGGACAAAACTATAGGAAGAGATAACTAATTATTTCAGGATGAATGTTGATTAACTTCTTTTTTTCTAAATGCATAAGGAACCTAAGGAAGGGTTTTCCTAGGTAGGATTTATCCCATTTTACCTACTAAAGGTTTTCCCCCTCCACAGGCAGCACCCTGAACGAATGCGAGATGAAGAGAGGACTTTAGGTGATGAAAAAAGAGGAAGTGAAGACAATTCTTGGGTCTAAAGACTGCAGATGGATAAAAACCCCCCCACAAAATAAGGAATTTCTAAAGTTTGGTCCACCATTGACGAAACAACCTGTAGATTAAGTACATATTTGACATCATATCAGGGCTCACTGAGAACAAATTTTCCCAAACAGATAAGACACAATGTAAATATGTTTTCAAGGTGCAGTCTACCTCAACAACTAATGACAATAATGATAATAATTTAAAGAAATTAATAGATGCTCCTAAATTATATACAGTCTTCTTTAAATAATCCCACCTGCATTGAACCTTAAGAATAATAAATAATTGTAAACGTACCCGAATGTAATTAGCGTTGATGTAACTGGAGAGAGGATCCTCGGAGGGGCCAGGTAGAATGACCCTCGACTGCGGGTTCGGTAACACGGAACAGTATCTATTCTTAACTCCGGACCCGCAGATGTCCAACTTCTCAGGTAAGTTCAATGGGACCTCCCAGAATTCTTTGTGCAACGACGCCGGATCGCTCACAGCTTTTCTCAATTGTGCTCTTGAAAGGACATTGCCGGCGCTTAACAGAAATTCCTCCGCGGTGCACTCGCGGGTCGGCGTGACGATGTGCGGCGGGCTCTCCGGTGGAGGCGCCAGTTCTATGGTCAAACTGGCGCTGGATCCCCGACGTTCTAAGAGTCTCTTCGACTTCACGCGTATTGGCTCCGGTCTCCGTTCCGGTGTCATCACCGACATCACCTAAAAACAAATTTTAATATGTTTAACATTGTAATTAACACGAAAGTAAGAAAAAAGTGTTTTATTAAGGACAACTAATAACTGGGACATCCTGTATATATGCATGTCTCTATTCAAAACCAGTCATTTTGTTTTTAGTACTTATACAATACATAATTCTAGAAAATTGTGGAAAAAGAAAGCAAGTCATCTCATAGTGAGGATAATAAAGGTAACAGTAAGGTCAGTCTTGAACGGTAGTCGTGGGAAGGATATAATAACTCTTGTAAAACAGGAGTTTCCCTTCACAGATTTAACAAAAGAAGTCCTGATGATACCCTGTAAACCCAGAAACGTACTAACGTACTTTCCACCCATTCAGTTATACCTGAACTTAAAGTTAGACTTGCAATAATGCCCAAATCTTCTTCTAGAAAATATTTGAATAGAAATTAGACCCTGAAGAATTGCTTTTCTAATAATTACTGTTAATAATTTTCAAAAGGAAGTACCAACGTCCTTTCCACCTAATTCAGTTATACCTGAACTTAAAGTTAGACTTGCAATAAAGCCCAAATCTTCTTCTAGAAAATATTTGAATAGAAATTAGACCCTGAAGAATTGCTTTTCTAATAATTACTGTTAATAATTTTCAAAAGGAAGTACCAACGTCCTTTCCACCTAATTCAGTTATACCTGAACTTAAAGTTAGACTTGCAATAAAGCCCAAATCTTCTTCTAGAAAATATTTGAATAGAAATTAGACCCTGAAGAATTGCTTTTCTAATAATTACTGTTAATAATTTTCAAAAGGAAGTACCAACGTCCTTTCCACCTAATTCAGTTATACCTGAACTTNTGCACTCTTATGGCAATCAGCAATAACTCAAAAAAACTTCACTTTCATCTCAATGCATCTTCAATAACTCACATAATAAAAATATTAAAAATCATCATTTATAATTCTGCAAATTATTCATAAATTTTGTCACTTAATTTAAAAATGATTAAATATCTGCCATATTTAAATGAACGTGGATTTGAAAAATGCATTTAACATCCGGTGGTGGTCGACTTCCGCGTAATGCAGGAAGTAAACATCGCGTATATATTTTATGAACGGCGGAGACTCCGTAACGTGGGCGAGAGAGAGCGAGTGAGAGGTACACCAACGAGAGCGGCTGCGACAAACGGATGAATAGAGGCTCCAGTCCAGTCACTGACACGTACGCACATTCACAAGTAAACCGCATCCGGTCGCGGCCGATTCCAGAAGAAAAGCGATCGAAGATAACACAAACGAGGATTATACCTTTAGCTAGAGACAGGCAGAGTACGAGGGCCAGATTGGCTCGATGAAAGACGGGCCCAAAAGGGCCGAAGGCACGGTTTGAAAGCAGCGGCTGCGTGAATGTTCGTAGGACAGCCATAGTCGATGGCCGGAGAGTCGGGACGATGTCGACTGCGCAAGACTCCTGCTCCAACTGGCGAAAGAAACGATCGTGCACCCTGACCTGGGCTCCGGTTCCACTCGGCCTTGTGCTCGCAGCTTGTGCGGGAGTAAATACCGGCCAATCAGCGGCCGACGGCACGCATACGGAGACCAATAGCCTCACGGGTTTACCAGTAGTACTCCGGCAATTTGGCGGGAGGGAATCAAGGTGAATGAAAGCGAGCCACGTGCAACTAATCATAGTAAAGTGCAATCGAAATCAAGTTTCACGTTTCGCCCATTCACGAGCCTTTCCAACCGCAAACATTCGTTTTCCGAGCTTGCAGTAACCGCAGACAGCGAATACTTTCATTAAACATTGTGTAAAAACGAAAAACTGATGAAGAAATAGGAATTGAATGGCTCAAGTAGTACAGAGAACCTTGTCTCATTCATTTACAATTATTTTCAAGCACAAATCCTCGTTTTTCAAGTTTCCATTGGTCGTAGATAAGAAATAAGTTCATTAAACATTGTGTAAAAACGAGAAAGTGATGAAGAAATAGGAATTGAATGGCTCAAGTAGTACAGAGAACCTTGTCTCATTCATTTACAATTATTTTCAAGCACAAATCCTCGTTTTTCAAGTTTCCATTGGTCGTAGATAAGAAATAAGTTCATTAAATGTTGTATAGAAACGAGAAAGTGATGAAGAAATAGGAATTGAGGGCCTCAAGTAGTGCAGAGAATCTCGTCTCACTCATTTACAATTATTTCTAAACACAAATCTTCATTTCTCGAGCTTCCATTGGTCGTAGATAAGAAATAAGTGCATTAAATATTGTATAAGGACGAAAAAGTGATGAAGAAATAGGAATTGAGGGCCTCAAGTAGTGCAGAGAATCTCGTCTCACTCATTTACAATTATTTCTAAACACAAATCTTCATTTCTCGAGCTTCCATTGGTCGTAGATAAGAAATAAGTGCATTAAATATTGTATAAGGACGAAAAAGTGATGAAGAAATAGGAATTGAGG